AGTCTCCAGTCTCCCCCTCCGAAACTCCCCTGCAGTCGAAAGTGGTCTCCAGGCCCTCCTCAGTGGGGACAGTGTGAAAAGTGGCCCCTGCCCATCTGTCTCCCCCCCAGACATCTCCCTGCCCCTGTGGCCTGAGCAGCCTTCATTGTGGATGAACAGACAGGGATAGACAGGCCCAGAAGGGAAGAAGCTGGTAACCTGGCTGTGGTCATATGGACAGCTCCTCCTCCTTTGCAGATTACTACTTTGTGACCAGGGAGGTGATGCAGCGGGACATTGCTGCTGGAGACTTCATCGAGCATGCTGAGTTTTCAGGGAACTTGTATGGGACCAGGTGGGCCATGCTTGGGGCCCTCCCTTCATCCGATTCTCTCAAGGACCTGGAATGGGTGGCCCAAGCAGGGGGTTTCTCTTTGTGGCCCCCCTAGGCAGCGGGTCTACCCTTGGCTGGGCCCCTGGTTGGGGTTTTCTCTACGGGCTATCTATCTGGGCAGTTGGGGCAAGGGACCTAACCCCCAAGGGTCAAGATGAGGCAGCAGTCAGGGCTCTTCAGGCCACTCCCTCCTGGCCCAGCCCTACCTGGCCTGCTGTGGGAACCATGGGCCGCTCAAGGGACTGATATGTAGTGAGGACTCAGGGAACCTGGGTCTCACAGGTCTGCAGGTTTCACTCTGGCCCCCTCCCCTCCAACCAGTGGGGCAGCCTGGGAGGGTCCCTGGGGCAACAGAAGCTGCCCCCCTCCTCAACCAGAGCAGGGTCCATGGTGGCTCTCCCCATACAGCTTGTGAGGCTTGGGAGCAGTGTCTTGACACAGGCAGGCAGGCCCAGACATGCCTTTGTGCACAGCCTGTCCTTGAGCCACCTGGCTGGGTGAGGCAGGGACCCCACAAGACCCATCGTGCTCTGCCCCCAGGTGCAGATGGAAGGAATGGTCGGTCCCAGAGTGGGGTTGTTTGGCCACTGTTGGGACACTCAGTGCCCGCTGAGAGGTGGTTCCCCCAGTGGAGAGCCTGTGGTACATGGTGACCTTTAGGGTGAGGGGCCAAGGCCTACAAAGGACGGCCGGGGGATGAGGAAGCCCAACGGGGCGTCGAGTAGTGCTCTCGGGGCCCTGGGCCAAGGCATCCCTGCCTGAGCAGGGCTCCAGTCTGCAGGACATGAGAGAGGTGGCCATCCTTGTCCCTGAGGTCAGGATCCAGAGGGTATTGTCTTCTAGGGGCATGATTGGTGGGTTGGACTGATAGAGGTGATAGAGTGATGTGGCCTGGGGGCAGGTGCCAGGAGGAGAGGCCCTGGGCCAGGGTCTGCAGGGCTACCTACTCCCACTCCTGGACCAGCAGAGGGCCCCCATGTGCAAGGGTTGCTCAGGGAGTGCCTCCAGAAAGGTGAGCAGATGCCAGGGTTAGGCTGGGCAGACAGGCTCAGAGCAGAAGATGGACAGTGATGGTCCCACTGAGGCTCTTTGAGGCTGTAGGGGCTACTGGAGCCCAGGGAGGCCCCAGCTGAGCAGCACCCCCTCATCCCCCAGCAAAGCGGCCGTGCGGGCCGTGCAGGCCGTGAACCGCATCTGCGTGCTGGACGTGGATCTGCAGGGCGTGCGCAACATTAAGAAGACTGATCTGCAGCCAATCTACATCTGTGTGCAGCCACCCTCACTGGATGTCCTGGTGAGGGCCGAGAAAGGAGGGGGAGGGGGGTGAGGCGGCCCCAGAAGCTTTGACCTCCTGACCTTTGTGCTTCATCTCAGGAGCAGCGGCTGCGGCAGCGGAACACAGAGACAGAGGAGAGCCTGGCCAAGCGCCTAGCTGCCGCCCGGGCTGACATGGAGAGCAGTGAGTGTGGGCGCCTACCACTGGTGTCCCCTGCTCTCTCCCCAGGCCCCACAGTAGGCCAGTCCCACCCACTAAGGGGCAGAGGAGGACTGGAGCCAGCACCCAGCACTGTGGTCCCCATGAAGAGTCCCCAGACCCTTCCTCTGTCACCAGAGCTTCCGCTGACCCTGCCCCCACCCCCAGGCAAGGAGCCCGGCCTGTTTGACCTGATCATCGTCAACGACAATCTGGACAAGGCCTACTGGGCCCTGAAGGAGGCGCTCTCCGAGGTGGGCTGGGGTGGGGCTGGGGCCTCAGACCTCTGTCTGGCAAATGGGGAAAGCAGGCTGGGACAGGTGATATGGTGGCCCCAGGCCAGGCGAGACCCTCTTCCTCTCCCTAGCCCCACTTCTTCTCTCCCCCACAGGAAATAAAGAAGGCTCAAGCAGCTGGTCACCCCTGAGAAGGCCCACCGGCTACATCCTCCCAGTGGGGGCCTAGGGCCTGACACCCACCCTCAGCGGGTCAGGGTCTCCCAGCAGTGGCTCTGCTCACCTCAGCTGCCACCCAGGGGTCAGGGTGCTGCTCTTCTTCCCTCACCCCTCCACTGCAGCAGGGGGACCTTCTCTCTCACCCCTACCCCCCATGCCCATTTCTAGGCTCCCTCCCTGCCCTGCCCCGCTCCATCACCACCCTCCCTCCTATGGACGCTGGGCCAACATCCAAATAAAGAACTGCTGGATTAGAGTGTCCTGGAGCCCATGGATCGTGACCCTGGGCGGGTGGAGCCGCAGTGCACCCCACCACTCCAGACCCCACTCTAGCTGGCCGGCCCCCAGCGGGCTTCGGGCAGCAGCATTCTTCTGGCATCTGCTGCTTGGGGCTGCTGGCTCCAGCGAGGGCTGCTCCCAGGCTACACACTGCTTCCCCAAGTGTCCCTTCAGGTGGGTGTAGGGACCCTCTTGGGGGTAGGTGGTGCTGCTAGGCCTCATCTCTACTGTCTCTTTGAGGTGCCATTGAGCCTGGGGACAGAAGGTCCCAGGGGCTTGTCCTGCTCGAACCATTCCTTCTCCTGGTCCCTGAGCTGGGCCAGGAGTGGCAAAGGGACAGAGACTGCAGACCAAGGCTGGACCTCTGTGTCTGGGGGCCTTGTGCCTGGCCCACTGAGCCTGGCCAGCCCTAATGGTCCTGGAGAGGCCAGTGCTGGGGGCCTCTGTTGGGGTTCCAGGCTCTCTAGAGTCTCAGAGGATGCCTCCAGAAGCCGCTGGTCTCAAGTCAGGATAGCCATGGTATACTGGGCACAGGAGACACACACTTGCCTGAGCCCTGGCCCATGCTCAGGCCATGCTCCTGTGGTGGAACCCAGACAGATGGTGGATGCAGACCTGGAGGAGGCAGGGAGCGCAGGCAAAAGTAGTCAGAAAGGCCAGACTCCATCCAAAAGCCCAGACACACAGCGGAGGGCAGGCGAGAGCTGGGCCTGGACACTAGATGGTGGGCAGGGGGTGCTGGGCAGCCCCGCAGGCCTGAGGGCAAGTGAGATGGAGCTGGGCTGCCTCCTGACCTGCTGTGCAGCCTGGGAGAGGCCAGTTCCCTCTCTGGGACCCATCCAGCCCCAGGGACAATCAGGGATTCAGACCTCAAGCCTCAGGGGGAACAATGGAGCCGTTGAAGGCCCTCCCCCCGCATTGTGCTTGGTAGTGAGAGGTGGCCCTGGGTCAGTCTGGCCGGGTACACACTCAGGAGGGCTGGTGTCCAGCCAGCCATCAGGTAGAAGAGCTCAGAAGGCCTTGTTTCCTGGCCTGGAAAAGGTAGGTTGCCCACCAGGGGACCAGGCGTAGGGTTCCCTTTGGGGCTGAGTAACACCGTCGTCACTCAGCCCAAGGTCTCAGGGGCCTGTATCACCTCTTGAAACAGCCAACCCCGGGAGACAATAGGTGCTGGGTCCAGCTGGGTGGCCTTTTATTCTGGGGTTCTCTCCATCTCAGGCCCACTGCCCTCACAGGGCCTGACTGGGTGGTGGTTCTGGTGCAACAAGACTTGAGTGTAGGGGGAGGTGGAAGCAGAAATCTGGACCCCCCAACCACAGGGGCTGCTCAGGCTAGCTGAGGAGCAAGGACGGAAGAGGGGTGGGCCCTGAGCAGCTGGGACCCTTCAGGCCATGTGGAACTGGCCAGCTCCTGCCAGCTAGGCAGCTGCAGTGTGTCCAGAGGCTGGGGCTCTTCAGCTTTTGGGGGAGGCTGGGGAGCCTTTCCGATAAGCTGTGGTCAGTACACCTGCCCTCCGTCCGCAGCACTCCTGGTCTGGGCCTTGGTGTGGCCCGGGGCACCTTTCATTAAAATCCTTGTGGGCGCCTCCTAGGTCCTAGGTCCTCAGATCTAGGTCCTGGAGGTTAGCAGAGAGCAAAACAGCCTCCTGTTCTCCAGGAGCGGCCCCTGTTGCGCCACAGATGTGAGTGAGTTGTCTGGATGGGGACTGCATGCAGGGTGGCTGGGCAAGAATGGGGAGCGGGCCGGGGGAGGTGGCCTGGGCAGGGGTTCCAACAAGGGGCAGTACGGCTGAGGGGTAGCAGCCGGCCCTGGGTTGTGCTCCGTTGTCGGGGGAGCAGGTAGGCGCAGCAGGTGTCCAGGGCAGAGTAGGGGTATGTAGGGCGGAGAAAGTGACGCTGCTGCTCGTTGAGAAAGAGCAGAGTGCAGGCCGCAGGGGCGATCGCATGGGCATTTTCGGCAGCATCGGGGAGGAGGGTTTAGTAGGGGTCACAAGTGTGGGCATCCCACGCGATCTGAGGGACACGGCACCCTGGCCCTGGGCCAGCAGTGCCTGAGGAGATCCCAGGGAGGGCACCAAGCTTGCGGAGGGGTTCTGGTTTGGCCTCACTCCCTTGCTTCTCCTAGCACATCCCCCCCAGCCCACCCCCAAAAGCCCAGGGCCCTTCAGCTCAGGCCTCCCTGTGGGCGGCAGCTCCAGCCTGGCTGCAGGAGCAGCCCAGGCCGCGCCACCATGACTCACTCCCCAAGCCTGGCCTTACCACACCCTCCACCCCTGCAGGAGGCCCCTCACTTCCCAGCTTCCAGGCTGGAGTGGAGCAGAGAAGGGCCTCCTGATCCTCAGCAGACCCAGGGTGCCATGGCCACCTGCACCTCCAGAGGCCCTGGGAGGGAGCAGGAGCCTCCCACCGCAGTTTTACAACCATCCTCTCCCCACAGCTCCCAGCAGGGCCCGTTCCCTCCGGCATCCGATCATCCCCCTGGCATTTGCTGAGCACTTGTGTGATGAGGGACGCTGAGCATGCAGTGGGTGCACCTCACTCTCCTGGCCATGGAGGATGCTTCCCAGAGGAAGGCCATTGGAGTGGTCCAAGGCAGGAGTGGGTGCATGTGTGTGCGTGAGTGTGAGAGGAGAGGCGGATGGGTGTGTAGGGGTGTGTGTGTGTTTGCGCGCGCGCACGGATGGGTGTGCAAGTGTGTGTGTGTGAGAGAGAGAGAGACAGTCCAGATACGGGTGAAGCCAGCTCTGAGGTGGGCAGGAGCAGGTCAGGAAGTCCCTGAAGACCCGTGAGGATGGGGATTTTGTTCTGAGAGCCCCAGGCTTCCTGGGACCAACCCACTGGGGCCTGCAACCCCACCTTGGGCTGCCTACAGGAGGGAACATGGGGATGGAGGACTAGAAGGAGAGCCTGGCCGTTAGCCGGTGTGCCCACTGCATGGGAGGCTGTGTGCACTGGTGTTGCTGGGGAGGGTGGCAGATGGATGTGGCAGAGGGTCCCTAGGCCTGGAGTCTGCGTCCTGGGCACTCCAGGGTCGGGGTGAACACCTCTGACTGGCCAGGGGTTCCAGGCAGAACACAACTGGGGCATCCAGGACAGGGGCCCAGAGAGGGAAGGAAGTGGAAGTGGAAGACCACTGCACAGGACCACTGCAGAGCTGACAAGGGTGAGACCTCGCGGGCACCCTCAGGCTAGGCCGGGAGGAGGGCCTGGGGCCTGGGGCCTGGGGCCTGAGCAAGGGCAGGTGCTGCAGCCCCTCCCTCTGAGTGCCCGCTCCCTACAGGGCACTTTGGTGCGTGGTGAGCAAGTAGCAGAAGAAAGACCTTAACCTTGGCGCTCAGGGAGGTGGATGGGGTGTAGGAGCAGGCCCTGGTCTCTGAGCTAAGGCCTCCATCTCCCGGGGCTGAGCCCGCCTTGGGCTACTTGTGGGTGCTCATATGTAGAGGAGGGACCTCCGGTGCCAGGTGCATGCAAGGTCCCTGAGTCCTCAGGGAGGGGAAGAGGCTGCCTGAGATGCTGAGGTTCCCAGAGAAGGGTGTCACCAGCCAGCTTGGCCAGCTGAGCACTTCCAGGGGCTGTGGATCCTGTCCTGCCTGGCAGCCACACCTTAGCCAAAGGAAGTCCATCCACCCTGAGAGGGGCATGTGGGAGGAAGCCGGGCCAGGGTTAGGAAGGAAATAGCTGGGCAGGCCCTGGCCTCACTGTACTGCAGGAGGAGACACTGGGCCATCTCTGCTCTCAGTGCCCGCCCCCCTCCACACCCAGGACCTTTGTTCAGACCCAGGGGTGAAAGGGGCTTGAAGACGGCGGGGGGGAGCCCAGCTGCCCACCCCTGTGCCAGCGCCGGGTGTGGAGGGCCCAGCTCACCCCAGGGCATATCATCCTGATGCCCGCTAGAGCCTACACTGTCTGCCTACCACCCTCCCCACAGTGGGGTGACTTCTTGGGTGACTCTTGGCAGAGATGACCCCAGCCCCTGTTGTGGGGAGCCCTCCCCTGCACACTGGCCAGTCACCTTCCCTCACCAGATCCCACACCTTCTACTGACAACTCCCAGGCCTACCGCCTTGTAGACCTTGACACTCAGGGACACCTTGGCCCCTTACCCCCAACCCCGCCCTGGATCCCAATTGAGTGGTCCCCACCCACACTTGCTCTAACACGTAGCTTTGGGTGAGGTTTCCTCTGAATGAAGGTCCCTGCAAATGCCAGGGCCTTGTTCCCTGAGGGGCCAGCACCCCTCACACACCTTCCCCTCCTGCTGGTTCAGCCTAGGGCCTAGCCCCCACTGGCTACCTCCTCCCAGCAGCGCTGGGCAGCCATGGGCCTAGACTTTGCTTCCTACTGCAGCACCTCCGTATCGGGGTCCTTCTTGCATCCCACAACTCCAGGACAGGTCACCAACGTCCCTGCTCCGTGCTTGAAGCCTCCAGACAGAGAAATGCATTCCAGATGCGGACAAGACAGGCAGAGGGAACTTGGAGTGATGATGGGTTAGGAGAACATTTTTAATAAGGTTTTTATTTTATAACACCTGTGATTTACAGAGAAGCTGTGAAGAGCCCAGGAAGAGTGCTCACTTGCCCCCACACGCAGTTCCCCCATAGCAGGCTTGTCACAATCAGTGCACCAGTGTCACTACGTTGTCATTAACCAGTGCCCACTCTGCCCTCAGATTCTTCACTCTTCACCTGTGTCCTGCTTTTCTGGGGTCCCCTTGGGGAGGGTGACTGACCTCACATCTCCTCGGCCTCCCTTGGGGATGACCCCCTCGGATTCCCTTGTTTCTGACACCCTTGGTGGTTTGAAGGTCAAGTAGTTTGTAAAAGCCCCTCTTGGAGCTTGTCTCATTGTGTCTCATGATCGCCTGGGGTGAGGGTTTGGGAAGAAGGCCTCAGGGGCAGCAAGGTGCGGCTGTCAACTTGGCTCCTCACCGTGGGTGGGGACCTCAGCTGCTCCCCGATGCCTGCTGGGCTGTCCTGCCCTCCTCCCTCCCTCGCTGTGCTCTCTGGAAGCACACCCTCCTTGAGGTCACAGTGGCTACATGAGTTATTTAGAATTTCTTCTCCACTGACAGTTACTCTCTCATTTGCATCAGTAGGAACTCATTTATTTATGACCGTGGGCTATATAATCTGTGAGCTAATCTGTAACTGGTACTTACTTACTCTACTGCCAAAATGATCCAACTTCAGACACCCGGAGTGCCTTCCCTCATTTGCTACGTTGTGTCCCTTTGACTCGCCTCTGTCAGTGTCAGTGAGTGTGTGTGAGAGAGAGAAAGAGCACTTCCTTCCTCTCTGGCACCGAGAGATGCTCCTGGCGCGTTTCCTGCCGCAGCCCTGGAACCAGCTGTTTCTCCACAAGCCTAGGTCCCTTTACTGTAGAGCGGGACCAAGGTGTGTTCATGGCTATGGGGCGTTTTTCCTTTTAGGCCCTTTCAGCCAACAGGCAAGGGGCTACAAACCTGTGTGCACGCGTGTGTGTATAACTAGGAAACCACCTGTGTCCATACTGAGCCGATGGTGAGTTCAGACCCACGTCTCCAATGCTAACCCGTGACCAGTTGGGACATTTCCAGCCCCTCTGTGGCTCAGTCCGCGTGCACGGAGAGGAGAGAGCGCACAGGGGAGTGGTGGCTGGTCTCAGGGACTGCCCCGTGAAGGGACAGGACGAGGGGGCGGGTGGAGCTGGGGTCTGGACGGGGCGTGGACATTGTAGGGCCCGGCAGAGTAGAAGCGCTCGCAGGGGTGCGTTCCACCTGCGGGGTGTTGGTGCGCTGGCGCCAGATGTGCTTTGCATCTTACTTCGAAGTCTGGCGGAGTCTCAAGGGTGGATGGGCGTCCTCAGGTGCCCGGCAGAAGCGAGGCAGGCCCAGGGAGCGGCGGGGCCCCGCGGGGTCTGGTTCAAGGTTTCTGCTGATGGAGCGGAGCGGGTGCTGGGCAGAGAGCGCTCGAGGATAAGTCCATCTAAGATGGAAGCTGCTTTGGAGGGAGATTTTTGGGTCTGGTCCTCTGGGGTTTGCTGCGCCTGCCGGAATCCACGTGCTGATGTGAAGCTGACAACTGGCACAAGAGGTCTGGATTTGGGGGGCCCTATGCATGGCACTAAGATCAGGGCCTGGGTTCTTCCAGGCCGAAAGTGGTCAGTCAGTGCCAGCCCCCAGACCACAGAATGATCCGGCCGTGACTGCGCATGTGACCCAGGACCTGCACACACGTGTTCATGGCACGCAGGCATCTGCACTTGGTCTGAAGAACCAACTGCCTCTGCCCCACACCCAGAGGTTGCCAGAGCTCCCCTACTGGCACTTGGGGAAGGAAGAGAGGAGGTTTGCTCCCTCTCCTTTCCCACTCCCCAGGCTGTTCCCCTCAACTGACAGCATGCAGGGCCCTCACCCTCTTTTCTCCACAACTCATCTCTTGAGGGTGTGCTCTAACTGCACCCAGGCCAGCCTCCTTGGGCAAAGTGCCACCCCTCACCCCAGGGCAGGGTCCTCCCAGCACCATGCTAGAGCTGGTCTCAGAGCCCCGCCGCTGCACGTCTCCCCAAGTTGGTTATGGGTCTGGTGGAGGATTTTACACCACAGGAATCGGTAAACACTGCACCAAGGCTTTCCCACTGAGATTCAGCTGTGGAATACTAACCACACATGAACGGTCAAGCCTGCCCTGGCACCCTCACCTTCCCTTCCATTTTTCCTCTAGGATCTGTTTTGGAGGGGAGAGAAGAGGGGGGTTGCTCTGCCATCCCTTTTCTGGGTTCTTGCCTGGTGGGACCGTGGGCCTCGGCCTCCTGTGGTGTGGAACTGTAGAGGTCAGGAATAGGGAGAGATCCTGGAAAAGAGTTCAGGTTAGAGCTGAGGAAAAAGCCAGCCTAGGACACAGGACCCTTGTGCTCTTCCCCCGTTGAAGCAGAGGGATATCAAAGATGGCCCTGGAGGGCTGGCTGGGCATGTGCCAGTCTGTGTACCTGTGTGCATGCATGTGCACAAGTGCATCGCACACGCGAGTATGCACGTGCATGTCTGAGTGAACTGTGTGTGTGTGCATCTGTGAGTGTTGTGGCTCTGAGAGGGGCACTGCACACAGATGTGAGGAAGTAGGGTCACTTCCCCAGGAACCCTGGCTGCCCCCTCATCCTGCCCCCCGCCCAAGAGCCCAGCTGCATAAAGAGGGCCTGAATCCCTGAATGCCCCTGCTGTTCCACCCCACACCTGCCCACACTGCCTCTCAGGCCTGTTCCAGAAGGAGGGAGCCAACAGCATCAGGTACTCAGGGGTCTCCTGCCCCCAAACTCAAACTATCCAGAAGCAGGTACTGGTGTTCACCGTGGAGAAGGGAGGGTGGGTGTTGGGAGGCTGCAGCCCCCTGCCTAGAGTCGCAGAGGTACAGGGGCATGTGGTCCTGCCCACAGAGCCCCTTCTAGGCACAGGCCCACTCAGGGGTAGCTGATCTAGAAGGGGCACTGGTCTGGGACATGGTAAGCAGCCAGGTGGCTCTCTCTGAGTGTCACAGGTGCCCAAGTGTGGTTGCACATGTGCCTTATGGCCCCCAATCAGGATGTGCATAGGACACAGGAGTGTTGGGACAAGAGGGAGGAGCAGCCTGGAGGGTAGGGCCTCAGCCCCTGGTACAACTGGACCTGCAGGAGGTTCTCAGAGGAGCATGGCAGTGATCCTTTGTGGAGGCGGAGGGACCAGAGCCCCTGTGCAAGGTTTGGGGTAAGGGTAGGGGGAGGGACCGGTCCTGGGAAGCCTGGAGCTGATGGAGCTGAGGGTTACAAGGGGCTGGAGGCTGACAGGGCCGTGGGGTCTGGGGACTGATGGGGTTAGCTCCAGGGGCTAGGAGGCTGGAGGCTGAGGGCCACTGGGACTAGGGGCCTGGGAAACCACGGGCCACTGGGGGACTGGCGTGGCTGAAGAGCTGGGGGGACAGATAGGCTGGGGACTCAGCCCCTGGTGGGCTCCTAGCCTGCCCGAAACAGGTCTCCATGGGACTCCTTCCAGCGACCTGGGTGCTGAGAGGTGGGGGCAGGCTGAGCTGAGGCTGAGCAGCCCCCACACTCTAATACTCTGAGTGAAACGCAGTTTCCCCATTTGTCCTACAAAGGCAGCTCACCCTGCTGACCCCCTGCAGTTCTCAGGGCCTTGGGTGGGGTCCCCAGAGGTTGGGGAAGGAGTGCGTCTGGCACTGGGCCAGGCTTTCCTGGAGGACTAGGGGAGGGCAGGAGAGACTGGCACTGCTCCGGGCCGCAGCGACCTGGGGTCGGGTCTTGGTGGGAGATGGGGCATGTGCTCAGCCAAAGCAAGGTGTCCTGTCATCTGTCCTTTTAGTGCCTGTCTTCTGCCTGCAGAGGCCCGGGCCTCTCCCTGTATCCATCCCAGGGCAGAGACTTTGGGTGGGGGTGGCGCTCCTGAAGCGGCTGCTCCTTGGGGTGAAAGATGTGTGTTCCAGAGGGGACCCTGGCCCCAGGTGCTGCTGTCCAACCCCTGCCAGGGGTTGAGCTCCCCATAGCCTGTGTATCTTACCGTCCCCGCCCCGTACCTCCTTGACCTCCCTTCGCCCCAGGTTGAGCTCCTGCTCGTGGCCTGCAGGTCCCGTCCCCGGTCCCTATGACCAACATGAGCTGGAGCTTCCTGACACGGCTGCTGGAAGAGATCCACAACCACTCCACGTTCGTGGGCAAGGTATGGCTCACGGTGCTCGTGGTCTTCCGCATCGTGCTCACGGCTGTGGGTGGCGAGTCCATCTACTCCGATGAACAGACCAAGTTCACGTGCAACACGCGGCAGCCAGGCTGCGACAACGTCTGCTACGACGCCTTCGCACCCCTGTCCCACGTGCGCTTCTGGGTTTTCCAAATAGTGGTCATCTCCACGCCCTCTGTCATGTACCTGGGCTATGCGGTGCACCGCCT